AAATAAGGGTCACCTAGAGAGACTGAGATTCAATTTTGGATTTTATGTAGATGTAACGCATTTTGGTTTGATTTTCAAATAGTCAAAATAGAAATTTCTGGATTTGATTTGATTACAGCATGGAAGAAACACCACATTTAAACTGTTTGAGGCCATACAATTATATGTGAGCTATTCCCAGTTCTTTTCCCGAGGCCCGTGTGATTGCTCCGAGGAGACTCCCGTTGGGTCCCAGGAACCTGCCAGCAAAGGTGGGGAGCTGCACTTTGCCCAGTGCAAAGAAAGTGAAGAAGAAGCGCCGGTGACAGCCATGGAGCAGGTCGGGCCGTGCTGTCCTGTTTGGCAGAATCATCCCTCATTTCCACGGGCTCAGGAGAGCTCAGGGTGCCAGCTCCATCGCAAAGCCCGAGGATGAGCATCTGGGTGTGCTGGTGGAAAACCTCCTCCTCCTCCTCCACGGCAGTTTTGCTGACGGAGGAGCGCTGAGCCGGCTGCCTGGAAACGCCTGCCAGCTCAGGAGATCCACGTGAAACCCTGCAATTCCCTTTTTTCATGCAGCCAGAGCTATTTCACTTTCCTTTTGCAGGCACGTTCCTTCCCCAAACGTGGTGTGGTCAGGAAGCTGAGGCGGGGGCGGCGGGGCGGGGCCTCTCCCCGGGGTGTTACGCTCGCTCGCCATTCCATCCACGGTCCCAATTTGGCATCAAATACTACAAGTCAGGAATTAGAAGAGGCTGTGATGCCTCTTGCATCACCCAGAACCAGGATCATTTATTTTGCATCATTTTTTTTTTTTTCCCTTTCCACAGTCAAGAGACTTTTAAAAATAATATTTTACCACCAAGAAGGAGCTGATGGTTGGGATCAGTGAAGAGGGAAGGTCTAATCCTACCGAGCGAGCGAGAAAAGCTGCTGTGGCACAAGACTTTGCTGGCGAAGCAGCCCATGGCTTTGGTGCAGGTGACCCTGCCTGGTGTGCAGGATGTCCCTGCTCACCTCCGGGACGTGGGAGGAGCACAAAGGGTTCCGCACACATGGGTTTCGCTTTGCTTTACAATAAGAAGGAAGAGAAACTCCTTGGGAGCAGGCGTAGGCTTCTGCAGGGAAACGAGTGCGGACCGTAAGCATCCCCCGACGGCTTTTCCTTGGGGATGCCCTCTGTGGAGCCAAGCCTCCCTCGGGGCTGCTTTGAAGAGCAAAAACCCAGAGCCTTCGTGCCAAATACCCTTCCTAGAGGGTGAGCAAGGCAGCAGGGAACATCTTGGAGCGAGCTGGGACCTCGCAGGCAGCAAGCATGGTGTTGTGTCCCACCAGCCCCTCTCCTCTGAATCCATACATGGCTTCGTTCTCCTTAGTGCCTTAGTGCTTGTCCTTTAAAAGATGAATAAGAAAAGTAAAAGGCCATGTGTATGTGCTGCTGTGGCTTTATGTGCTCACAGTTCATGGTGGTACCTGCCCACGTGCTGCTCCTCCATGGCCAGGAGCTGCTGGATGCATTCAGAAAAAAAGGGAGAAAACAAATAAAAGTGGAACCCAAGTTGCAAGGTTTGCCCGAGAGGAAGCATCTGGCTCCTAAAGCACGGCTCTGTTCCCAACAGACATCAGAATGATTTTTTTTTTTTTTAAATGTAACATTTCATGCTTCTCGACCACAGGTGAGTTTAGGACCAAGAGATAAGTCTCAAAAAAATTAAGAAACATTGTGTTGTGAGATCAGCTGGACATAGACAAGGAAAAGCAAGATTTTGCCCCCGAACTGGAAGGGGTTGGCTGAGGAATGGTGTTTCAATGGGGACAGGACATGGCACACCAGGAGCAGGTCCTGCCCTGCCCAGCAGCTAACGCTGGTGGACACTGACCTGCCCCAGTCCATCCAATGCATCCCTGTGCTGTCCTTCGCCTTTTTAGTCCTTTGAATGTTTTCTCCAAACGAGCACATTTCTTTTCCCCCCACCTTTCTTTAGTTTGTAGCAATTTCCATCGTTTTTCCTCTCTTGGTAACAGTTATTTTGCTGCCTGCGGTGCCCCGCGGGCCATGGCACGGGAGCTGCTTCGGGTACCCAGGGGTCGGATGCTGACTCCTGGTCCCTGCTGTCATAACAGAAGCTGCTTTTTTACTGTCCCTGCTGAGCTCATCCCGTGAAAGACCGAGAGCCCTGGGAGTCTCCTTCGGGGAATTCAGCTCCGGAGTTACGATACCGATACTGGGAGTCTCAAGCGGAACCGTGTAAACGCCCCATGCATGGAAGAAAAGCATCAAAAAAAAAAAAAAAAAAAGAAGGAAAAAAAAAAAACAAACAAGGCAGACCAAAACCCCCAAATTCCCCCTAAGGGATGGCGTTCCCAAAAATCCCACGCTGCGACATGCAGCTATTCCCCAGGGATACAGAGAATTTGCTGGTGCAGGGCAGGTGGCAGGCTGGGCGAAGCAGGGAGCTCGTGAGACCCCCCCCCAGCCCCATCGCCCCGTGCAGCTGCAGGGCAGGTGGGGGTTTTTGCTGATGGCATCAGGTATTTTGGGTGACTTCTAGTCTCGGGAGGTGCTTTTCCCCTTGGGTGGAAGGAAAATACTGCAACATTGGGCATCCTGTGCGAGGTGGGTCATGTTTGGTGGGGGCCAGGGGTGGAGGAACCCAAAACCCACCCTGGAGGATACAGGAGCCTCAAAAAGTGGGACTGATAGGCAGAAATAGGTGACAAAATATATATTGTCCGCGACAGGGTGACAGCAGTAGCTCAGAAACCACTCGACACCGTTCTCTTTCAAAATCATCATTTAATCCATTAATTCCACAGCATCGCCATCATACACACCAGCACGACACCTCGGAACACGGCACACAGAACCAAGGAGATGCAGTTACCCAGGAAAAAACCCAAACAAACCCAATCCCCTAAGGATGGAAGGGGGGGAAAACCAGCGGCAGGTGATGGGAATAACTAGCTCTCTTCAGCCAGTTAAAGGCACTTTGCAAGGGAATGAAACTCCAGCATCATCCCACTGCCCCGCAAGCCGGACCCTGGCCAGGGTGATGCTGGGGATGACACCGGGGGGGTGCTGCGGAGCACCTGGGGGCTTTCTTGCTTTTATTTTTTCATTTTTTTAAAAGCTAAGAGGTTTTGGATTTGGGGCTTTTGCTGTTCATGCTTTAAATGCAGCAGCTGGCACCTCTCCGACACCTCAACAGCCGCTTCTGACCGAGGCACCAGCTCCGCGCCCCGCCAGGCCAGTTTTGGAGCCAACCAAGAGCTACAGGGAAGCTGACACCTCCAATATATATTTTTTTTCCTGCATAGATTTAAAAAAAAAAAAGGCAAAATAAGACTTTACATCATCCCTGGTCTGCAGGCGAGCGTGTCCAGCCTAACACATCCCAGCATCTTTCTGCAAAAGCTGGGGACAGGCACAGCTCCCTGCTCGGGGATATGGGACACGGTCCCCCACGGGGGCTGTGGGACAGGACTGTCCGCTGGAAAACCCCTGGAGAAACTCCTGGGAAAGGAAAAACAACCTGAAGTTAATGCACCACCCTCCCAGCCCACCAAACCCTGCCGAGGGCGGGCGCTGCTCAAACCTCCACTTTCTGCAAAAAGAAGGGGGTGGGGAAAAAAAAAAAAAAGTCATTTTATAAAATACATTCTTGGCAGGGGATAAAATTTTAACACAGCTCATGCTTTTCTGAAAACACCCTGAATAAGTCATTAGCCAGGCCCTTCACTAAGATGAATTTGCCCCCGAGGACAAAAGAATTAAAATATAAAAAGTGTGCAAGACACACGGTATGGCCCAGCAGCCTCCAGAAGGGATGGCCAAGCTCTTCCAGCATTAAATCAAATAAATGAGGGATGGAGACAGACCCACCAGTCCCCCCGTGTCCCTCCTCCCGTACGCAGGGGTAGGACACAACCAGCGCTGAGCTGGTGGAACCGGTCACCAACTGGGAAAGAGGTGAGTAATTACCAGATATATTACATTTAATATGCTGCTTAGATTTTTAACATGGATTTTTCTTTAATTTCTGACATTGGTGAGTCATTTAAATATTTAGCCTAGACAATAAAATATATATATATGTAAAAAAAACCCCCAACATCTACAGTTTGTGCCTGCTGATTCTAATAGTCACAATATTAGGGCCCAGGGAATGTTATTATGTAAGAATCTCTGAAGTCCACGTCATATGTACATTATGAATTTACAAATAAATAACTTTACAAAAATCCTGTCTTCTCACCATAATTTTATGTGATCTGAAAAAAAAAAAAGAAAAAAAAAAAAGGCTCTTTCTGGTGATGACAAATGAGGAATTGCACAGTTAGTTCGAGGAACTCATTACCGGTGCGTCACCAAAGTCAACCACTTGGCAACAAAAAGACGTATCATATGAAACAATTTTTTAAATTTTTATTTTACATATTTATACATAAAACTTTCAAGTTAACTCTCTGAATCCAACCGAATGTTAATAGCACATCTAAAAATGAACGTCAGGTAGTCAACATTCACAAAATGTTGAAAACTGATTAAAATATACATATTACTGAAAGCTACAACTTCACTACGAGGCAGGCATGTATTTCTTTTTTTTTTGACTTGTATAGCACCGTCAAGTACAGTTTCTTTATTTTAAAACTACAGTGAAGAATAAAAAAGTAGTCAATGGTAAAATATCGTTCAACTGAAAAAAAAAAAATCTCTAAACGAACAAAAATAAAGTTAAACTACCCTCTCTTCTCACCCATGATTTATAATGTTATAAGTACTGTACATTTTTTTTTTTTTTTGTAATAATATTATTAAAATGCCTGATATTTAGTGGCACGAGTAAAAAAATTAAAATAAATTAAGAAGCAGAGGCCAATCACCGGACATAAAGCTTCGGACATGGTCAATGACTAACACTGGTTTTCTCGTGCGCCACCGCGGATGCCAGCGCTCGGACACACACAGAAGCAAAAATGAAGTCTCGCTCCAGCTCCGCTCCGGGGGCTCCCGGGGCTCATTTTGCTGGCATCTTCTCTGCCATGTGCTTCTGCTGACTTTCAGCGTGTCTGGAGTTGGGGTGGGGGGGGAGAGAAGGAAAGATGCTGCGTTTATTCCCCGCGCCAAGGGGAGGAGGAACCCCCCCGAGCAGACACCCAGCCAGGGCTGGGATCATCTCCTGCCCTCCCGGGCGATGCTCGGCACGTTCGCCCCCAACCAACGCCGGGATGGGCACAGCCGGTGCTTCCCGCCACGCACCACAGCCCCCCGCCCCGTGCCAACCAGCCTCCCGAATTAATTCCATTAATTTAGTGAAATTCAGTTTCACTAAACCGCCCTTAATTGCATTTAGGAAGCAAAGCGTTTCCCGAAGCACAGGAGGAAGCTGCAGGGTGGTGTCGGCGTTTGCCCACTGACCCGGCTCCGACCCTCATCCCAAATCCCCCTCTTCATCGCTGGCTCTTCGTTAAGGGAAGCAGTGACGGTGTCTCGCCAGACCTAGAAGTGCCCACCTGCCTGCTCGCCCCCGGGGCCACCGGCCCCCTGACATCCCAACCCCTCACCATCAAATCTCGGCCACCTGCTACGCAGCATCACGTTTTAAAATCATTTCAGTTCCGAAACCGCGGTCCTGGGGCAATAACCCCATGTCCTGGGGACAAGAACCAGCGCACCTTCTTGTTCAGCTCATTTTTTTCCCCAAAGCTTTCAATAAGAAATCAATATTTCTGCAGCGCACCACTCGGGATCTCAAAGGAAAATGTCTCTTAAGCTTTGCTGCCCGGGAGATGGAGTCCTTTAGGAAACCCCCCCTCTATTCTGCGAGGCTTTTCCGTTTTATCAGCTATTGAACGTTAATATTCCAGTGACTCCTTTGGGGAGCTCTTGAAAGCTGCTGGTCTCCAGAACGCGAGTGCCCCGATTTCTCGTTTCGGAGGAGAGCGCAGCGCCCTGCTCAGCCCTTACCTTTGATGGCAAAAGCTTTTAGCACCGAAATCCCGCTAAAAGAAAACCCCTACACGCTGCCGTTGGCGAGCCGGGACCTGCGAGGAGAGAGAAATACCCCGAGGAGCCTCCTTCACCTGGTCAGATCCTCGATGTCCACCAGCATCGCGTCCTGCTCCGTGTGCAGCTCGTCCCGAATGAGCAGCAGCTGCACCAGCTCCTCGTTCAAGCCTGGCACCGGGGAGAAAGGGGGTGAGTTGGGGATGTCCCAAGGGACATCATCCTTCCCACCACCTTACACTTCAGCTGGTGCGGAGGACCAGGAGGGACCTTCCCAGAGGACACACACGATGCTGGGAAGAGGCACGGAGAATTTTCTGCTTTCTGGGATCAACCATAACCCCCTCGCCGCTGCACGCACGTGGTTCCCCTCTTGAAACAACTCAACGCAGCAGCAAAAATGAAGATGAGCTTCTCAGTGCTGGTGGGCAACAGCCCTGAGCAAGAAAGAGGCTGCAGAAAGCGGCTGAGCAGCCTTGGGTTTAGTTTTTTGGATTCCCTGCGGTGATGCAGACCTGCCACACACCCATCCTGGTTTGGGGTTACTGTCCAAGCTGGTCCCTCTGCCCCAGAGGGATCTTTGTGACACTGGACTCTTGCTCAGGGCTGTGCCAAAGCGTGGGGAAGAAACAGAAAACAAAAAGGACCATGTGAAAAATGAACCCCTGAGGGCTGAACCTGCCCATCACCCACTGTCAGGGCTGCTGTTTAGAGTCCTTAAATATCGTTATACTGGTTTGAGGCCTCTCCAGCTTGGTAAGCAAGCTCAGCATGAATGATGTTCACACCCACGCTCCGAGACTTGGGTGCTTTCTAAAGTGAGGCTAATTAATGAGTGTTTTGGGGTTTTTTTTTTGCCTTTGCAGCACAAAAGAAAGAGATCACGACTCAACGGCGCAGCTCTGCACCCTCAGCAGGGCTGATCCCAGCAGGGACGCCAAGCAACCAACGCCAGTAGGGAAGGAGCAGCCCAGCAGCTTCCAACCAACCTTCTTTTGACCTTGGTCAAAAGCCACCAGCTTTGACCAGTCTATCCCCAAAAGTTTAATTAATTAATTAATTAATTAATTGGAAGACAGAGCTCCCTTGGGGGAAGAAAACCCTTGATCTTTTGGAGAGAGCAAAGGTGAGGTGGTGGGGCACTGTCCCTGTGGGCAAACGCACAGACCCATGAAACGTGTTGAGGGGCTGCATGGCATCATGTTAACTGGGGAGCGGATCTACCCCGGGACGTTTGCTAAACTGGAGGATGTCTCCACTCATGGATGGTCTTGACACCATGGCAGAGCATCACATGAAGACGCAGCCATAAAGCCACGAACGGCACCTGCTTGCAGGACAGGCAGATGTCCCAAGACTATTTTCAATCAACTGACCAGGTTTTGAGTTACGAGCAGGGCATTGGGTGCTGGCACAATGCCACAACCCTCCTCTCTTACGGAGCTGAGCGAGCGCTTTAGGAGAAACTGAAACGAGGAAAGAAAAATGCTGAAGGAGATAAATCTGGAGAGAACTCCATCTCCAGCTTCTGCGGTGTGCCTCTTCCATAAACTCATATCAACATTTCTGCACGTATCCTGGAGAACTGCTCTTAATCAAACGGGACATAGCGAAGAATAATTAAACAAGAGTCACTTACTTTCTATCTGTGAGTGGAGATCATTGACTATCACTTGTAGCTGCCCGATAGTCATGTCTCTTAGATCAGTGGGTTTTAAACTCCTCTTCATCAGGCATTCACTTATATGAGGCATATGTGGCAGCTGAAAAGAAATTGACAACTTTTTACTGTTTTCTCCCAATTATTTGTATTCCCGAACAACGGCGGTTTGCATTGGGGGCGTCCCCCGCTCACAAGGACCACACAGAGAGTACCAAAATGAGGTGAAACATCTACGCAACGTTTGACCCAAGTCTTCAGGTCTACCAGCATCAGTGGTGGATTGACGCAAGGGGAGGCGAGGGCCATGGCGAGGACTATTCCAAGGCAGGGATAAAATGCTCCAGCTCGGGATGAGACAGGCTGAGCAGACTACGCCTTAAGGATGAGCAGCATCGTGTTGTTGCCAGTCTTGAGGCAGTAACAACCTTCACGCTTCGTAATCTCATCCCTTGCCTCCACCCCGCTAAGACAACCCATGTTGACCCTTCAACTCCTGATGGATGGTCCCTATCTCCACCACTCCTCTGCATGTCTACCAGCACCGCCGGCCGGTGTGCGCGTCTTGACAAACAAAAGGGTTGATGTTACCCCCCGCCCCATGCCACTCCACCACCCCCACTTACAAGATCCGCTACCGGCGACTTCTTCCTGTTCTGCTTTTCCACCTCAACCTGCATTTTGGCCATGGGCTTTGCCATAGCCAAGGCCATTTTGGCTTCAGCTTGGAGTTTCTTCTGCCTGGTGAGGAAGTCCATGTCGTCGAGGGACTCTGACTCTTCCTCTGTCGTGTCTCTGTCGGAGTAGGACGAGCTCTGCTTGCTCTAGAGAAGGAGACAGACGTCGCCCCAGCTGTGCCGCAGCAAAGAAATTCACTGTTAACTTAAAATATTTTTGTACACTTCCAAGAGGTATCACTTCTACAGAAAGGGTGAAGAGCACAGATTTTTTTTTTTAATTTTAATCCACAAGATTATCTTTAAAAACCAGAGTAATTCCCCGAGAGGCTCCTGTGACTATTAATAGCAACTCGAGCACTTCAAATGGAAAGAGGAGTCAACCAGACCAATGGGTGTTGAACAGACCGACTGGTTAAGCTGGAGGAAAACATCTGGGGCCTTCGTGTTACATTCACAAAGGAAATCAGAGAGGAGAGGAAAGCTGGTGGGAGCTGATACCGCATCACATCCATTACTGCCCTGATAATTATCAGAGCCAGAAAGAAAGGGAGGAAGGAAGGAAGAAGGAATGCTTTCACACGAAGGCGTCTGCTCTGCAGCAGCTTTGTACCAGCCCAGGGCAATCTGCTATCGGCCCCTCAGCATCTTGCATTTCTTCTATTGATGGCCAGAGATGCTGCTCTGGGGTTTAGCGCTGCTATTTTAATAGGATCAGCTCTTTATCAGCTTCCATTAGGGATGGCTCCATGGTTTCCACACTCCAGAGCCTCTACGGGATGAGTTCTCAGACCTACCATGGGCGACAACGGCGTGTCCAGGCTGGTTTCTGTCTTGCTGTCGTCGGCGTCGCTGTCCTTGTCGCTGCCGCTGTCGTTCACGAAGCAAATCTGCAGGTTCATCCCACTTTGTAATCTGCGGAGGGGCAAAGGGAGAGGTGACACCGCAGCCCCCTCGCGCCGGCTCCGCTGCCGGCACCCCGCGGCTCTCCCTGCCGCGCCGATGGGCATGATGCCGAGCAACGCCAGCCACGAGTCGCTGACGTTCTGAAAGGATGCTGTTGTCCTGGTTTTGTATGGACCTCAGAAAAACATAAACACTTTCACTTTTTCCCAAGAAGTTGGTCATCCCCCACCCAAGAGCTGAGCCAGGACCACCAGCTCCCGCTGCCGCCCAGCGCTGCCGATTCTGAGCGGCAGCTCAACGTGGGACTGGAAACTCGGTGGCACCGTAACAGCAATGTTCTACCACCATCTATTGATGAACTTCAGAATTACCCAGACACCGCAGAGCTTTTGTCGTCTCGGGTGGCTATACTGTTACATTAAATAAAATACTCCATAAAAAGAACAGAAAGTTACATTCTATGTAAATATACAAATGATAAATGTGTAAATATACAAAATATATAAATGAGACACAAAAAAAAAATCATGTTAACGATTGAGACTATTTATTCAGAAGGATGAGAAGCCTGTTTGTGGCCAGGAGACCCCACTGTACCACAGGAGATGGTTATGGTGTTTCCCAAACCCTCCCCACCATCACCCAGTTCGACCAGGTTAAGGCCACCCAAATTCACCTCCCCAGGACTGATTTTTTCCAGATGTGGTGGCTCAGGGCAGGGGCATCCCAGCGCAGGCTGAGACAGGGCAAAGCACTTCTACAGCTGAGATCACCCCAGCTTTGGCTCAAACAGTGGTTTTTCCCCAAAGCCACTGCTGGCCACGTAACGCACATTCTCCCGGAGCTGGCTGATGCCCCCTGGAAAGCATGGCACCCCAAGCTCCAGGTGGACCCCACGGCTCCCTCTGCTCCGACCAGCCTCCAAGAGCAAACATGGGAACAGATACTTTGGATAAGAGGGGGTCTGTGAAAGCCCCTGTTGACACCCACATCGCAGAGCAGCTCCGTGCCCACCCGCTGAGCCCACGCACCCCAGGCTCTCCGGGACCATTCGCCCACCTGACAGCAGGGTCAGGCCCATTTGCCTCCTATAAAATCTGCTCAGGCTTTCCACGTCTTCCAAATTCATTAAAATCAATCCCAGAAACTAGAGATTTCTGGGATTAACTCTACCAGCCTTCTCAGCGCGTCATACTCCATCGCTACCCGTTGAAGGTGGGGCGAGCCCTCCACCACATTCTGCTGCCTGTTATTCCTAATTCCCAATGCAGGGGACTTCTATCAGTACTTACAGACAGCAAATTTCCATTTATTTTAGTGGAATTTCCTATTTATTATTACCATAAAATAGATACAGCATTAATAATTAAAATTTTTTCACCATGAGGATGGTGAAACCCTGGAGCAGCTTTCCCAGAGCGGTGGGAGATGCCCCATCCCTGGAAGTGTTCAAGACCAGGCTGGATGAGGCTTTGGGCAACCTGGTGTAGCGGAGGGTGTCCCTGCCTGTGGCAGGGGGGTTGGAACTAGATGATCTTTGAGGTCCCTTCCAACCCAAACCAGTCTGTGATTCTATACAAACTTTTAAGCCGTGATGGACGCATCCTTGACTCGGCTTCGAATCGCACCGCAGAGCAAGAGCAAAAATGCAGGTCTGCAACTCCCACCCCTTTCAAGAGCATGACCCCAACGCCTGAAACCCATCAACTGATGCTCTGGCATTTACTTCACACGCAAGTGCAGTTTTATTTCATACAGAAGCACAAAACGGAGAGCAGCGGCGCCGGGAACGTTCCGTAACGCGCGGCACTAACGCTTGGCCTGGATTATAAATATTAACGAGGCACCAAAGCGTTGAGGTACAGCTGGTAATTTCTGGTGGCACAGCTGCCAAGCCCTGCCGCGTGGCATTAATTAGACCCGCGCTGTAATTACGAGATAGCGGCTCCTGGTTTAGCTGTAACTACACAGAGCAAAACTGTTTTCCCTTTCAAACGACTCGCAGCTCAATTTAATTTCACGATTGTACCTCTCCGGTGTAATAACAGTATTCCTCCTGGTTTTATGCCTCTCTGACTTTTTTTCCTCTCCCACACCATGGCAACAGGTACATCTTCACTCCCAACGTGGGAAGTGTTTGATGCTTTCCAAGTGCCACAGGTTACTCCTGGCAGCTGCATCTATAAACCAGCCTTTCAGGAGTATGTTTGATGTAGAAATGTTAAAAATGGGAGTAAGTGAAGGGTGACTAAACTGGTCAAGGGGCTGGAAAATAAAACTTATGAGGAGCGGCTGAGGGAGTTGGGGCTGTTTAGCCTGGAGAAGAGGAGGCTGAGGGGAGACCTGATTACAGCCTACAAATACTTGAGAAAAGATGGTGGGGAGGTGGGGGAAGGGCTCTTTACATTAGTGTTGGGTGATAGAACAAGAGGAAATGGGTATAAGCTTAGTCAGGGGAGATTCAGGTTGGATGTTAGGAAGTATTTCTTCTCTGAAAGGGTTGTCAGCCACTGGAATAGGCTGCCCAGGGAGGTGGTTGAGTCCCCATCCCTGGATGTGTTTAAGAATAGGGTGGATGATCTACTTAGGGATATGGTTTAATGGGGATTAGGGATGGTTGGACTCGATGATCTCTAAGGTCTTTTCCAACCTAGAAATCTATGAATCTATGAATCCGCGCCACGCAACATGTCAGCCCCAGGGATGGCACTGTGCCCAGTGAGCAGAGCCTGCGTGGAGTATGTGGAGGTGGGGGGGAGGTGAGGAGCCACCTTAAAGCTCATTTTTTCCATTCTCAGGTGCTTTCTATGCATGAGATCAATCACAGCCCTGCCCGCTCCCCCAGGGTGAGCTATTGGCATCGGATCTGCTTCCGAGGGGCTGCCACCTCCCGAGCCGCGGAAGCAAGATGTGCTTTCGCAAACTCGTGGTTTTTCACCAACCACCTCCAGGGCTGGTGGGACCATGGGACCATCCTCGAGCCCTGTCCTGCTTCACACATGGACATCTGGCATTAAACCAGGCATTCGGACACCAAAACTCTCAATGTTTTGCAACTCAACGTAAAGAACTCCTTGGAAAACAAAATAGTCAACTATTTTCACAAGAATGACTCCAGTTGTGCGTTTGTGATACTTTCACCACCGTTCTCAGTCTGCCCAAGTCCGGGGCAGAGATCCTAAGTGGAAACCAAAAGGAAACCTAACTCCAGAAAATTCAGCTCATTTCCTTTATCCTCCAAGCATCTAAATAACTCTGCTATACAGTTTTATCCTAATATTTTAGCATATTATTTACAATTATTTACATAACAGGCAACTATTGGGTTCAGAGCATAAAATCTTTTAAAACAAGGAAAATTCAAGAATACAGTTGCAAGTAAAAGCTGAGGGATCCTCTGAAGGGAAGGTCTCAGGGCTTCCCACTGGAGGCATCTCACACTTTTCAGCCTCCAAAGAGGTTCTGGGCTGTGAGGTCACCTGGCTTACCGGGAGGAGAGGCTGGGCTTGCCGCTCTTGCTGCAGCTGGTGTAAAGTCCTGGGCCATCGTCGAAGAAACTGCCCAGAGCCAACTTCTGCCTGATGGACTCCCGCTCATTCTTCTGGGCCTGAAAGGGAAGGGCGAAGAGAAAGGATGAAGCTACTGGTCATGCCAGGGCGCAGGAAGGACCGTTGTCCCACCAGCCCCACCATCGTACTCATGATGCCCAGCACCTCCCAAGCTGTCTCCCACGCTTGGGTGGACCATATGGCCCATCCCAACAGGGAAGCCCATCTGCATCTCTCTCTCTCTCCACATATTGACAGATATACATCTCTATACACACACATCTAATGTATACATCTGATAAATACCTAATATACACATTGATATCTGTACCCGCATCCACCCACAGCCACCAAGACCTCACTCACACCATTAGCATCTTCCACTTCCCTAAGCAGCCTCCAAAACCCCACGATCCTTCTGCCAACATGCTTAGAGATGTATTTTTAACCATTGCCATCAAATGATTCACAGTCTTAAAAATGTATTTTTATATATCTGTTTTTTTGAATAAGGGCAAGCTACAAAGTGATTTAAAATTAATCACCGGTCAATGACTATGGAGATGACTGTAATCAAGGTGAGATAAATGAAAATCACTGATCTGGATCCAAAATTAGTACTGGTACTGTCCCAGTGTCTGTCACTAATGGATTATGTGCCAACGCTGACAACAAATTCAAACAAGGTGACAAGTTATTGATAGAAGGAACGTTTTGAAGCCCTCAAATGTTTCATTTTAAAATAACACACAATACTTGATCAAGAACACACAACAAAAGAAAACATAGCAAGCGAGCATGGGCTGCTTCCATGGAATTCATTAATATAACCATGCTTCCTATATTTTACCTATCTAACAAAAAATAAAGCACCTTTTTTTGATACCACGAATTCAGATATAACAAAATGCAAATTATTAACTTAAAATAGCTCATAACTTCATTCCAATTCCAGCGCTGACTACATACATTACATTGTCACACTGCCCATTGTATTGACAATGCCTTCCAACACACATACTTTATCTGTAACCTAACTCCTGTTATTTAAAATATTAAAAATAACCCCCACAGCATCAAGTGGTATCAAGTTTTTGGGTTCAGCTCGCAGTTTCTGAAGTTCTACCCAGACTGCCCAGCTACGTTTTCCTCTTTTGTTTTTTCCAGGTTTCAATAATTGATGCCTCAATCGCATGGAGGCAGTTAAGATTTAGGAGTAAAAATAGCCAGCCCTGGCGACGAAAGCAGCATAGTGAAAAAAAAAAAAGTAAAAATGAGTGAGAAATATTTTTTTTAACGGACTGAAGGCAGAGAGAGGGCTGCCCATCTCGTGATGCACGCTGCCAGTGCCAACCGCATTCCTTGGAGCATCAGTATTTCCCAAAGTCATGGATACTCACCCTCCCCGTTTTTCCTACTTGGATGGTCCTCTCCCACACCTTCCCACCTCCCTCCCTCCACAGCACACCCACCTACTCCCTGAGTGCTGAAAACTACTCTTCTTTACATTAAACCACGCAGAACCACAGGCACACTTCCACGTATTTACCCCGTTCAGATGGGGCTGTCTCACCAGATCTTCTCGAATTTTGCTCCGTTTCCCACCGAGACGCAACTGCTCCCGGTTTGACATCTGTACATTTAATCAATGTTGCAAGTTGTTTTCTCTCCCAGGTCATTACTGAGGATGCTAAATACCACTGCTCCCGGGGCTGAGCCCAGAACATCCCCTTCTACAGACCAGATGCAGGCTAATGACCGTAAAGAAATAACAGTCCTATCTGTTATTAGAAAATAGGGAATGGTTACTAAGAAATAGAATATGCCTAAGGGAACTAAGCTTTAGGCTTTAGATAAATTACCCAACAGCTGCAGCATACACACCCCGAGTTGGGTATTGAAAATGATAAATTGAGAAGGAAAATTGCAAGTGTTTTTTTGACTATTTGAATAGACTTACATGGTATATAAAAAATAACGGATCAAACACTCCAAATGCAAAGGTCCTGGCAGCAAAAACATAAACCCACGTTATTTAAATGTGTATTTTGACACCAGATCAAAAAAGGTACGTGTTTCTGAAAGAGGGTCTGGCGTAGAGCAGAACTCTGGCTCCGATGATTATTTTAAACAAAAGGTTGCTTTCCATTTTTAAGGCAAAACAGCTCGGGGCGGATGTTTTCCTTCTTACCCTTGACCTTCCCATTCGGAAGGCCAGGAGCTACCTTTGTTTCAGCACACGAAGAAAAACACCACGTCAGGCCACGGCTGTGACCATCTATGTGCAAAACGCTTGACACCACCGTTCCTGCAAAGGCAAATTGCCAGGAGAGGTCCAGCCTCCCCCCGCAGCAGACCCGGCCCCCCGTTTCCCGGCCCCGTCGCCCACCGCAATCATCCCCAGTTAGAACCCTACGGCCATCACCTCGCTGGTGTTTGCAGCTGGTGCCACCGTTTGTGTTCTTCATCCCCCGTCCCCGACACGCTGCGGCACCTCGACACCAAAACCTTCCCAGTTTGGGTTGAGAGCCTGAATTTCTCCAATACATGCCTTCTTCCCACACAACCCTGTCCCGGTGGCACATGGAGATACTGCTGATGCTGGAGGCCGTCCCCAACCGACCCAATGCAGGATGGAGAGTGCCCACAACAACGGGCACGAGATTTTGGCAGTTTTCTGGGAAACGGAGCAAAGTCCATACGACGTTACTGATGCCCCTTAAGCAGCGGTAGCTGGACTGCTCTTTTCACCGCGCACCTTCCTGCACCCTTTCGCATGCAGGAACCTCTTCTAGCAGCCTCTACTCACTGCAGACATCACCCAAAACAGCACAGAGAATTGCACATCGATGATTTATTCGGCGTGAAAGTGTAGCAGCAATTTGCCAGGCTCCTTGTGGTGTTCAGAGCCCATGGTAGAGCTGCCGGCTCCTAATAACTGGTGCTCGTTGATGGGCAGGGAATGGATGGAGAGCAGCCCTGAGGAAAAGGACTTGGGAGTGCTGGTGGATGAGAAGCTCACCATGAGCTGGCACCGTGCGCTGGCAGCCCAGAAAGCCAACCGTGTCCTGGGCTGCATCCAGAGC